CCCCCCCCCCCCCCCCCCCCCCCCCCCCCCGCCCCGCCAAATCAAAACCCAAAAACAGGCCTGGGGTTGTGGTTCAGGGTAGAATGATTGTCTCGCATACATGAGGCACTGGGTTTGATCCCCAGTATCACATTAAAAACAAAACCAAAAACAAACAAACAAAAAAAACTAAATAAACAAAATAAAGGTATTGTGTCCATCTACAACTAAAAAATATTTAAAACAAAAAACAACAGAAAAAACCCAAACACCTCCCCAAATTTGCAACCCTGTCTTATCCTCTCATGGAGTTGGTTCACCCAGCTTCTATTTTCCATTACTAAATACTAAAACCAATGAAAAGGCAGACCACAAGTCAATGCCATAGTAAATCACAATAGAGAAAACAAAACAAACAAAAAGAAAGATGTAATTAAAGGTTAAAAACACTCACTGGGATTCTGTCATCTTCTCGTCGTCTTCGACCTCTGAAAACAGTTCTCCTTTTAAAAACAAAAAAGAAGGTGTTGGGGACAACTTGTAAGATTCTTCAAATATACACAATCTAACAAAGATGGAGMGATTTCTAGTTTAACTTATATTCTAAATCCACCAAAATTAAAAGATATAGTCTTCTGAAAGCAATCTGAGCTTATATACCCAAAGCTTACATATTACCACCACCACCAGTTAGCTGGTTCATTTTTACTAAWTTTTTTTTGCTCTCTCCATACCAGAAGCATATCAGAGTTTAATTTAGGCAAGGTAGGCACTATAAAACCCATTCCTACAGTTTATACTTAGAATAACTAAAACCCTAAGGCACAAAGATGGATAGCCTACTTTTTAAAGCTGCCTTCTCCTTGGCCAACTMTAAAGAACTTCAAAATATAAATTTCTGATCACAGTGGCTGGGCGTGGTGGCACACGCCTGTAATACCAGTGGCTCAGGAGGCTGAGTCAGGAGAATTTCAAGTTCAAAGCCAGCCTGAGCAATGGTGAAGAGCCAAGCAACTCAGTGAGACCCTGTTTCTAAATAAAATACAAAATAGGACTGGGGATGTGGTTCAGTGGTTGAGTGCCCCCCCAAGTTCAATTCCCAGTATCCCACCCCCAAATTCTGATCATAGCTATTCTATATGGATACTCTATATTTCTTAATTATTTTAAAAAAACTACTGGGAGGCTGGGGTTGTAGCTCGGTGGTAGAGTGCATTCTGAGCACATGTGAGGCACTAGGATTGATCTTCAGCACCACATAAAAAATAAGCAAATCAAGGTATCATGTCCACCTACATCTAAATATATTAACAACAAAAACAAAACCAGTAAACACCCACTGAGGTTAGCCATTACAGTGGCTAATGCTTGCCAAGCACGAAGCCCTGTGTTAGATTCCCAATACTCTAACAACAGAAACAACAACAACAAAAATCTAAAAAATAAAAATTATTAACCGATGATAACCACATGCAAATAATTGTTAAACCGACAACATCAATCATTAGTCATGGTCTTTGAATACACAGAATGATTGTATTGTGATCAAAGAATTTTCATACACCCATATTTTCTTACCTGCCCCTACCATAGTCCCCATTCTGTTCCATCTGTAAAACAGGAGTCTCCTTGGGAAGGTGAGTTTGCTCCTGATGCCCTATTACTGTAGGGTTATGCCGTTCGGGTGGAAAGTTCCTTGAACTAGATCTGTTCAATGGTCCATCCCCCAATGACACAGAGCCCTCTGTTGAATGTTCTGAACCACTGGATGACCTAAAATGAGGCTTCACACTATAAGAAATAAGATCATATACATCAAAAGATGTATCAAGACAGAAAAAAAACCTTTCTTTGTACTCTGGTTGTCATATAGTGAAAATGTTACTTGTTTTATGTCTTACATATAATATTTTCAAAAGGCAAAAGGATTTCTGTTAAAGAAAATTGTTCAAGGAGAGATTTGGGAGAAAATCCAAAGTTCTTTGGAAAAAAAGAAGAAAAAAAAAACTATTGTCTTGATATACTTATATCAGCCAGGTTAAAAACTTAACATCTGTGCCATGAACTCTCAATAAGGGGAAAACCACCAATGAAAGTAAAAATTGGTGGTGGTTGTGGTGGGGGAACAAAAAAATTCGCACTCAAAAATTTTATGTGTAAGGCTTAGACATACATTACACAGATATCCTATAATCTGTAATATTAAATTTTCATAGGAGAAAATTAGTAAAGAAGCTTGAAGTCTCTTTATGGGAATGACAATGAATAGGGTGAGAAACAGTAGACATACTAAAATCTCAGCCTTCACCAAATGCAATCAGTTGCTCAAAGATCCAAATGTGGAACAGACAACTACAGAGAAATAAAGCCAGCAGTCTGGCATTGTCATGAATTAAAGTATACAATATGTTAAAAAGCACTGCCCCCCCTGCCCTGCTTCTGCAAAAATAGCTTTTATCTTGGATGAAAACTAGGAGCATCCAACTTCCAAAAAAATCTGTAAATAGATTAAGCTAAGGTAGCATAACAGAGAAAAGATGCAGTTTAATCAACAAGGCAAACACCTAAAGTAAGCCTAAGCAACTGAGGATCTTGGCTCTACAACAGAATAACAAGGAAKCGTGAGATTTGTATTGGCCCATGACTTACAATCTTTTATAATATGTTTTCATAAATACAAACTGATAATATTAATAACATTTTGCCAATTTCCTAAGCTCTTGGAACAGCTCTTGAAAATCATTTATAAGCCCCAAAATTAAACATTAATTTAAATGGCACATAGAGCTATTTTATTCTCCAGAGACCATGACAMATTAGGCTATTATTATTAAAATTTAAGATAAAAAATCAAGGTACAATGACACTTCAGAGAATTTATTTTGATGAGCATCTTGCTAAGATGTAGAGCTTAACCTTGAACTTGAAATAAAACCAACAGTCTGGTATATGTCATGACAATCTCCTGAAGTTGCTAGGATTATAGTTGTGCTTCAACATATCCAGTGAAAATAGATTGGGTAGGGAGGTAGGGGTATAATTGGGGCTTAAATCTGGGTATTTAACCACGGAGCCACACCCTTAGCCCTTTTAATTTTTTTTATTTTGAGACAAGGTCTTGCTAAGTTGTTGAGGCTGGCCTTGAACTTGTGATCCTCCTGCCTCAGGTTCCTGAGCTGCTGGGATGACAGGTGTGTACCACTACACCTGGCAAAAATAGGTTCTTCAATAGCAATAAAAATTACAGTATGTCACCTATCAGTTTTTTCCAAAATATTTATTATCTAGCATATCTGAAAATGACCTCAAGAGTTTGATAGATTATTTACATATCTGTTCAGAAACTATCATTCACCAATTTTCACCTTGTATACCAATAAGCCTAATGGACAAATTATTTAGTTTAAACAGCCCTCAGATCTCATAATCTTACCCTTCATTGAGAGGGACTTACAATCTCAATCCAGGCAACAGAAAAGAGAATGAAGAAAGAAGTGATAAAGCCAGAAAAGGGGAAGTGACAGAAAGATAGAAAAATGCCTGGATTTTTGAAAGTTAGTCCTATTCTCTCTAAGTAGGACTAGTGATCATCATTGGGCTATTCTCAAAGTCAAATCAAAAATTGTAAAATGGCTCTAATAGTTACTTCCTCTTTGATTGCTAACATTAATTTAAAGGAAAAAGGTACAAAAGCCTGACAGCTGTCACGTCATATAATAAACAAAAGAAGTATTATACTGTTGGTCAAAAAGTTAGTTTCATTTATAATGTTTGCAGAAATATGAAAAAAAGTACTCACATATTATTTTTATAATTAAAAACAAACCACAACCACTGTTACTCAAATACATGGAAAAAAACTATACTGTGGTTTTGAAAAACATGCAAAATAATAATAAACTTGCCTATATATGATCAAAACCATAGGTGAATCTCTTTTTTTTAATAAAGGTGACTACCTTTCCTGGCTTTCTTATTGTAAATGTCATCCCTTTCACAAACAAGGCACAGTAGACAAAATGGGGACAATAAAGGAAGAACAATGAACCCACCACATTTTTWAAAAAATTAACAAAGGACCTAAAAACAGCATATTACAAGGACACAGCCACATCAATGGTTATAGCAACACAATTCACATCTAGGTTGGTAGAGCCAACCTAGATGTCCCTCAGTGGATGAATAGATAAAAAAAAAAAAAGTGGCATTTATACACAATGGAATATTACTCAGCAATAAAAAATAAGATCATGGCATTTGCAGGGAAATGGATGGAATTAGAGAAGATTATGCTAAAGTGAAGTTAGCCAATCCCCCAAAAAACAAATGCCAAATGTCTTCTCTGATATAAGGGAGGTGACTCAAAATGGGGTTGGGAGGGAGAGCAAGGGAGGAAGATTACCTGTAGATAGGGAATAGGGGTGGGAGGGAAAGGGAGGGTGAAGGGGAATAGCATGGATGATGAAAGGAGATCCTCATCATTATACAAAATACATGTATGAAGATGTGAATTTGGTGTCAACATGACTTATATATAATATATAATTAAATGATAAATTATTATATAATTGTGTATTAAGAATTGTAATGCATAAATAAATAAATAAATATTGACAGTGCCAGAGATCAAATCCAGGGCCTCACACATGCCAGGCCAAGTTCTTTTTTTTTCTTTCTTTTTTTTTTTTTGAGAGAGAGAGAGAGAATTTAGTTTTCGGCGGACACAACATCTTTATTTGTATGTGGTGCTGAGGATCGATCCCAGGCCGCACGCTATTGCTTGAGCCACATCTCCAGCCCTGGGGCCAAGTTCTTTATCACCAACTTCAATACCCAGTCCCGTATTTATTTTTAAGGAACCAGGGATTGAATGCCCAAGATGCTTCACCACTGAGCCACATCCCTAAACTTTTTAATTCTTTATTTTGAGACAAGTTTGCTTAGGGCATCACCGAGGCTGGCCTTGAATGTACAATCCTCCTTTTGCAGCCTCCTGAGCTGTTGGGATTACAGGTGTAAGACAGGACACCCACCTTTATYTATTTGTAACATGAGCATCTGAAAAGATCAGCACCAGCCCGCTCAGTTAAAAATAGCTTTTAGTCTACCTAATAACAAATACCTGTTCTACTTAAAGTGTTTAAAACAGAAGTGACACCTTCAAAGAACTATATGGGGAATCAACACATACTTTTTTTTTTTTTTTTTTTTAAAAACAGATCTACTACCTCTAATCATGACCAATTTGTTATCTTCTCAAGAGAGAATTTAGAAATTGTATTGATTTCTTTTTCTTTTTTTTGCAGTACTGAGGATGGAACCCAGGGACACTCTATCAATGAGCCACATCCCCTGCCCTTTTTGTTTGAGACTGGATCTTGCTTAGTTGCTTACGACCTCACTAAGAGGCTAAGGCTTGCCCTTGAACTTGTGATCCTTCTGCCTCGGCTTCAGGAGTATTAGGATTACAGGTGTGTGCYACCACACCCAGCAATTGTGATTTATTCTATTGGAAATATTTTTCAAAAAATAGTTTTAGTTGTAGATGGACACAATACCTTTATTTATTTGTATGTGGTACTATGAATCAAACCCTGTGTCTCAAACATGATAGGCAAGTGCTCCACCACTTAGTCTCAACCCCAGCCTCCAATGGAAATATTATTATTTTTTGGTACCAGGAATTGAACCTAGGGGCGCTTAACCACTGGGCCACATGCCCAGCTATTTTTAATATTTTATTTAGAAACAGGGTCTCACTGAGTTGCTTAGGGCCTCASTAAGTTGCTGAGGCTGACTTTGAACACACAATCCTCCTGCCTCAGAACTATATGGGGAATCAACACRTACTTTTTCTTTTTTAAACAGATCTACTACCTCTAATCATGACCAATTTGTTATCTCCTGAGCTGCTGTGATTACAGGAGTGCCCCATGGTGCCTGGCTGGAAACTTTTAAGAAAAAACTTTTTGTCAGTTTATGGCAGAGGAGAAAGATGTTTGGAAAGTCTTAGTCCTGGTGGTAAGAGCCACATAAGACTGGCAAGATATTTATCTTCTTCAGCCTTATTTTCTTCATCTATAAGTGAGTTAAAATTACATCATAACAAAGATCTGTGTGTTCTTGGAAATCAATCTTTTCCAAACAACAGGATGGTGACTATAGGGCAGTATGTATACTTCTATTCCTATATCATAACAACACTGAAATTTTGTAGGTAATTGCTGTAATTACTAAACAAAGTGTGATCTACAAACAATGTACTGCTTGTAAATTACCCTACATTATTCTTTTTCCTGAGCTAGAGTCTTGCTGTGTTGTCTATGCTGGCCTTGAACTCCTGGGGTCAAGTGATACTCCTGCCTCAGCCTCCTGGGTAGTTGGGACCATAGTTCTGCATGACTCTACCTGGAAGTATCCTTCATTATTAATATACAAAAAGATGCCATTTGAAGCTTGAATAAAAATGAATTTATTCACATTTTTTAGCATTTAAAAATTACCTTTAGGACTGGGATGTAGCTTAGTGGGAGACCATTTGCCTAGCATGTACAAGGCCATGGACAGTATGGTGGTCCCCATCTGTAATCCCAGTGGCTCAGCATTGAGGCAGTAGGATCACAAGTTCAAGGTCTGCCTCAATAACTTAGTGAGACACTCTTTTAAAATAAAAATTTAAAGGGCTGGGGATATTGCTCAGTGGGTTTAATCCTCTGGGTTTAATCCCTGGTACCAAAATCCTCATAATCATCATCAAAAACACTGAATGCAGAAAMAAAATAATACACTACTTTCATATCACCAAAAAAGCTTTCATAGAATATTTTTAAATTATGTTACTTTAAAGTAGCACGAAAACTGTCATTTCTATTTTGTGTTAAGCAGGAAACCCATTCAAATGCTTTAACAGCATCAAAGGGCATCCAAAAATTGTGACCATTAAAGGGGAGCCAGAATGAATGCTTCCAGAATACACTGAGACAGACATATTTTATACTATTTCACTACTTTCTCTAATAAAGCACACTTCAGAAAAATCACACAAAAAAGGACTGAATTATTAGACGACATCTTGGAAATATACTATGTGGTCACCTTGCCAAAGAAGAATCAAGTGGGGGAATCGGATCCGGCAAGAGACTGAAAAATCAATGAAAAGAAATCATTAGTGGGCTGGGGTTGTGGCTCAGTGGTTAAGTACCACTGAGTTCAATCCCCAGTAGCCCCCACTACAAACACACACCAAAAGGGCAAAACTAGTAATTAATTCTAAACCATCTTTTATTCTTTGCTCATTATTCACTATCAAAAGCCATAGTAACATACAAAATATTATCACTTGACATCTATATAAAGAAAAATACTTAATATACTTACCAATCTTCTGTAAAATAGTAAACAGGATCCCTAATAATTTATTATCTACAAAACAGCTATACCTATCGTCAGTGCTATAAAAATTAAGATAAAAATGTAAGGCTTGCTGGGTGTAGAGGCACATGCCTATAATCCCAGTGACTTAGGAGGCTGAGGTAGGAGTTTCACAAATTCAAAGGCAGCCTCAGCAACAACAACGCACTAAGCAATTTAGTGAGAACCCACCTCTAAATAAAATACAAAATAGGATTGTGGTGCTGGGCCTGTAGCTCAGTAGCAGAGCACTTGCCTAGCATGTGTGAGGCCCTGGGTTCAATGCTTAGCACTGCATATAAACAAATGAATAAAATAAAGGTCTGTTAACATCTTAAGGAAAAAAAAGGAAAAGAGAAAAATAAAGGCATGCTGTCCATCTACAACAACAAAAATATAGGGCTGTGGCTCAGTGGTTGAGTGTCCCTGAGTTATACTTTGCACCCTCTCCTCACCACAAAAAAAGTGAGGCTTTAGGAACATAGTCTGAGATTTAAAAGCTGTTTGTGTGTGTTTGGGGGATACTGAACCCAGGGGTGCTCTACCCCTGAGACCTACGTCCCCAGTCCTTTTTATTTTTCAGATAGGGTCTCCTAAATGGCTGAGGCTGGTGTCTAACTCTAGATCCCCCTACCCCCATCTCTAATYTYCAATCTCTCAAGTAGCTGGGATTACAAATATGTGCCACAAGTCCTAGTGCAAAATTAATTCTTTAGAATCTGAAATAATACGTATCACAACATTTCACATTTCTAACCCCAAAGATTTTTCAAAATGTTACCCATTTACTATACTGAGTGGCATTTAGGCAYAATTCTAGATTGAATCATTCATATGTATTAATAAATATATAAACTTTTTTATTGTGTCTGCCAATGAGTATTGCTATTAACAGCAGTAATTTATTAAGAACAATTAGGAATTGTTTAAAATAAATTTCAGCTATGATTGTTATCTTACCGATTTTTTTGGAATGGTCGACCAACATTCATAGCAGCAGCATTTGTTTTATAAGATCCTGGTGAATTAAAGCCATTCACAAAACTACCATTGGGAAAGGGAGCCTAGAAGAAAATTTTAATGTTTAAACAATATCAATGGTAAAGACAAAAAATGGGATTAGGGTCACAGAAACCTTATTGAGCTTAGCCTCCTTTTAAGCCAAATATTTTATTTCTTTACTTTTGCAATATTCACATCACATACCACTTGACTTATGAATAATTGTTAGTTCATTACTTAATAAGGAATATTATTCTCTGACAAAGTTTCATAACACTAAAACCATTTAAAACCCTGTAAGGACTTATAAGCTACAAAGTAATAAATAGCAACATAAATTAACTACTCCAGCCTATTTCTTCAATTTTCAGGATGGATTAAAAATCCTGTAATTTTTGTTTTATTATCCTATAAGTATCTCACTTACCAGTGGCGTTTCAAAGTAAGGTGCAGGACTTGGAGACCAAGACTGAGGCACAATACTATAGACTGAGTACTGTTGATGAGGATTATATACAGGCTGCATAAAGACTGGTGAGGCATACTGTGCTTGAGTTTGAATTGGTTGACTATACATACTAGAATCCATTAATCGATAACCATTCTTAGCAAAAAAAGTATTGATGGCTTTTATCCTTGCCTAGAAGCAAAAAGAGCACATTATAATAAAACTCAAGTGTATATTTTAACAAATATATTAAATTTACATTTAACACTTATTATATGACTACACTATTTCTGTTTACTGTAGAGTCAGTAGAACAAAAGAAAACTGACAGCTTTATTAACAAGAAATCTGTACACAGGAAAAAATAGAATAAACAAGGTTAAAAAATRAAAAAGTCTGAATGGTGAAACTAATTACAACTTATCACACAAAGAGTGCTAATATCTCTAATAATATTAAATTATAAAAAATAGGCATGAAAAAGCTCAAAAACTCTACTAGGGTTAGAAATGAGCAGAATTAACAAAAATGAAAGGCAAACATATGAAACAGATGCTAAACCTAGCTTTTAAGATGAAATTAAATAACACATATGGCTAGGTACAGTGGTGTACACCTGTAATCCGAGCAACTACAGAGGTTAACGCAGGAGGATTCCAAGTTTAAGATCAGTCTAGTCAACTGTCTAGAACATTTCAAGACTTTATAAAGGCTGAGGATATATCTCAGTGGTGGAGCACTTGACTATCATGCTAGAGAAACCATGTTCAATCCTACCACAACAATATATACATAATTAACAACTAGGAAAAAAAATGCTCAAAATCACTAATGATCAGAGAAATGAAAATTAAAATCACAATATAACCCCATATACCTGTTAAAATGGCTGTTCTCAATAAGACCAGTGTTGAAGTGGATGTAGAGAAAGAACTCTTGAACACTATTGGTGGAAACCTAAATTAGTAGAGCCATTATGGAAAACAGTTTGAAAAAGGCSCTTACAAGTTAAAAATAAGCCTTGGGGTGTAGCTCTGTGATAAAGAACTTGCCTAGCATGTGTGAGACCCTGGGTTTGATCCCTAGCATAAAAACCAAACAAAAACTCAAAATAAAAACAACAAAGGAAACCCCCATATGTTAAAAAAAAAAATAAAAATTATTTTTATAAAATCATAAATTAAATTTAATGGTCTCACCACAAAAAAATAAGTACACAAGGCAGATGTTATTAGACTGATTTATTCATTTCATAATGCATATGCTTATTATGATATAAAATTGTACCTGAAAAATGTATACAATGTCAATTATACCTTTAAAAAACTGGAAGAAAAAATGCACATAGCTATTTAAGAACAGCAATCATAAACAGAATGGGAAATGAAGATAAATTCTCCTTGGGCTAGGGCTCAATGGTAGAGTACTTGCCTAGCATGTGCAAGGCACTGGGTTCAATCCTCAGCAAATTACTTATAACCAAAAAACTTTAAATATTAAAAAAAAAAAAGAAGAAAAGAAAAAAAAGAGAAAATAAATCCTCCTCTAAAACACAACACAAATACAGGAACAATTCAACAGTCCATCAATCATGGTGTATCCACATGATATTCATCAACTATGAAACTTAGGTACTTCTCTAAATACTATTTGAGTGATTTCCAAAAATATACTATTAAGGGAGAAAAAGAAAAGGTGAGGAG